CATCTCTGGACTCCCCTCCAGAGCCAAGGTACCAGCCCCTCTGACTTGATCTCACTTGACTCCCCTCTTGCCCTCATGGTCCTGACCTGGGGCCTTTTCTCTGCCCTGGGGTTCTGCCGATCCCGGGTCTAGAGTCCTTGTCTCTGTACTTCCACCTCACAGCCTTGGGACCCTCATGACCTAAGTCAGGTTTTGAAATCCCCATCCCAGTTGTGTTGTGGTTGAAATGGCTCCTGGGTGGGATGGAAGCAGGAAGCAGACTGTCTGCGATACTGGATGAGATGGCAGCCCTAACACTGCTGGGAGCTGAGCCTTGTGCTGTGTGCTGAGTCGGCGCTGACCCCCGGCTGACCCCCAGGGCACTAACTGCTCACCTTTCTCCCTCTGAGCAGCTAGTGGATTGAAAACACAAACCCTTCAGGCTGCCAGAGCAACTCGGGCCCCCTAGCCAAGCTGAGGGGCTGCTCATTTGGTTATTTCAGTGAGTTTCTTTACCTTTCCTCCTTTGGTAAATAGACCCCAACATCAATGACATGACAGGGAGTCAAACTACCCTGCAGGGTCTCCTGCGGCCACGGGGCTTTTGAGGCTGTAACTCTTCATGGAGTGGCTACCACGTCCTTCTCCCAAGGAGCAGCTGGTAGGTTCAAACCACCCACCTCTCCATCAGAGGCAGAGTTCTTAATCACTGCACCAAGGCTCTTTCTACATGCCCCGGACCAAACTCAAACCCACCACCAGAGTCAGTCCCAAGTCACAGAGACGCTGACCCTGCAGGCGCGGTTCCCTCGGCTGTGAAATGTCCGGGGTGCTCTGGTGTCGCAGTGCTTCCTGCATTGTGTGACTAACCACATAGCCACATCTTCCTCCCTCCTGCGTGTCGAGGTGATGTGATTAGAGACAGATTTGGAAGCACGGACAGTCCCCCTGCTCACCTTCATGCTAAATGAATCATCACAATCGTTTCTGTGATTTTTAAAACAACACTCACCTTCCCTGGGTGGAAGGGGTCCACCTCATCTCTCTGCAGTTGTTGTTGTTGCGTTAGGTGCTGTCGAGTCAGGCATGACCCACAGTGACCCTATCACCAGCCAATATGAACCCCACCCTGCCCTGTGCCAGCCTCACGATCTCTGACACACTCAAGTCCATTGCTACAGCCGCTGTGTCAACCCAGCTGGTCAAAGGTATTCTCTCCTTCCCTGTCCCTCCACCTTCCCAACAATGATGTCCCTCTCCAAGGACAACTCCTAGCAACACGACCGATGGATGTGACATGAAGCTTCACCACCTTTGCTGCCCAGGAGCACTCTGGGTGCACCTTCTCTGACGTACCTGTCGTTCTGTGGGCCGTCTGTGGGGGTCTTCACACTCTGCTCCAGTTACAGGTACAGACTCAGCTGAGTGTGGACCTTGTTTGATCCCAGTGACTTTTTTAGGTCAGGAACAGAAGTCCTGGTGTGTGTGATTCCCACATTCTTCGTGAACTCAGAGCTTCCTGCCAGGGGAGACAGGTTCAGGCATTACTAACCTGAGTCCCCCTCCAACGTTCTGGAACCTTCCACCTGTGGCTGGAGAGCTGCCTGGGTCTGGGAACGTGGAGGCAGGTGTTGCCCTAGTGTGGATTCTGGTAGCAGGTGGGCTGGCAGTTGGAGGGAATGTGGGTTTCCACTGCAGATGTGGGGGTCAGCAGGTGCAGTGTGGAGGAGGTGGGCTGGGGTGCCCTCAATGCTGGTCTGGGCTCAGGAGAAGGAACCCTGCCAGGGAGGAAGGCTGACCCTCAGGGGGCACCTGGATGTGGTCTCTCCTGCTCTGGGGCTTGGAGAAGGGGGAGGGCTGGGGAAGGGTTAAGTCCTACCACTTGCTGGGTGGTTGACCTATGGCCTCACTTGATCGCCCTGTGCCTCAGTTTCCTCATTGTGAAGGGAGGAGAGCCACTGTGGGGGACTCCTCATCTTGACTTTCAGACTCCTACCATCCACGAGGGTGCACCCTTTGGACAGTGGGGGCCCCAGCACCAAAGAAAACCTCCTGGAAGGGGAGGCTGGGGGGTGGTTCCCCCCAAGTAGCCACCTGGATCATGCAGCCAGGCAAGTGCCTGCTGTGGGTGTCTACTTACTCACCAGGGGAGCCTCACCCCGCTGCAGGTGCTCAGAGGGCTGGGGTGCACCCCTTGTGCAAACCCAGTGCCCAGCAAGGGGGCTGGCATGCAGTGAGATTCACTGAAGGGGTGGTGGACGGATGCCAGGGGAGCGCCCCAGCGCAGATGGGAAGACCCTATCTCACTTTTTTTGCACATGTTCTAGGGGGACCAGTCCCTGCAGAAGGACATCACATTTGGTAGAGAGTCAGTGGAAAAGAGGAAGGCTCCTGTGGAGATTGCCTGAGCCAGCGGTCACCAGGACTGCAGTGTCCCACAAAGGACCATGTGGCATGTGGTGTTGGCAGACATGCACTGCTGAGATGGGTTAGAAGCCACAGCACCAGACAACTTTGGGGGGCAGAGGGCCACATCTTCCTGCAGAGCTGCTGGGGTTTCAAACCGTGGACCTTATAGTCTGAGGCACAGCACTCACCTGGCTGCACCACCAGGTGTCCTGGGGAGGCTCTAGAACCAGGTCTGGGGCCTGCAGGGCAGAACAGAACTGGTTCAAGGCTGTCTGAGGTTCAAGGCTGTCTGAGGGCGGCTGCCCCCTTTCCCCTCACTGCCTGGCCGGTGGGAGGCTGTGGGCCTTTTGGTTAGCGGCCGAACACTTTAGCCACTGCATCATCAGGGACCCTTGAGGGCTGAGTCCATGCCACTTGCTGTGGGGTCGATTCTGGGTAAGCGACCCTGTATGACAGAGAGGACTCCCCAGAGGGCTTCCAGCACGTTAAATCCTTCTGGCAGCAGACTGCCTCAGAGTCTTATGGGGTGGGGGGGATCTAGACCCTTGGGTTAGCAGCTGAATGTTTAGACCACAGTGCTACCTGTGCTCTTCAGCAGGTTCCAAGGCTGTGAATCTTCGTAGAAAGGCCCATCTTCCCTCCAAGGAGTAGCCAGTGGATTCGATCTGCCCACCTTCCAGTTAGCAGCCCAGTACATCACCTACTGAACCACAGGGGTCTGCTCCAGGCTTGGGATTGCTGAGTGTGTCAAGTAGGAACTGACCCTCCAGTGAGTTTTCAGATACAGTAAATCCCACGGGGTGGGGGCGGCGGGGGGACTGCCCATCCTTCTCCCACGAAACAGCTTGTGGGTTTGAACCACGTATCCTTGGGTTGGCAGCGCAACTCTTTACCTCCAGGTCACCACAGGCGTCCTAGCGGAAAGGACTAAACGAGTTACGTCCATGAAACAATTTTCGGTTACTTCCTCTGCATCTGAGGGCTGGACAAGGAGTAAGGATGACAGAGAATTGATGCCTTTGAGCCGTGGTATTGGAGAAGAGCGCTGACTTGCGCGCGGGCTGCCACGAGAACAAATATGTTCTAGAAAAGGTGCGTACCGAGTGCTCCTAGGAGGCAAGGATGGCGAAGCTTCATCTCACAGACTTTAAACATGTCGCTAGGAGGGACTATTCCCTGGAAAAGGACATGATGCTGGGAAGGGCGGAGAGTAGGTGAGAGGGAGACCTTCAGCAAGACAGGATGACACGTGGCTTCAGCATAGGCTCGAGGTTGTTGGAGGTGGTGAGATGGAACAGGACAGCACAGGGCTCAGGCCTGCTGTTCACAGGGTTGTGTGAGTCATACAGCCACCACATTAAGTCCTTCTAACTGTCCCACTGGGATTTCCAGGTAGTGATCCTTTTGAAAAGAGCCAGGCCCTTCCTGTGAGGGGCTTCTGGGTGGATTAGAGCCACTGGCCTGAGCACATTGAGCCCGGGGACTCCACACTTGAATCAGTGACTATTGGCAGGGGCTGGGGCCTGTCACCTGTGAGGTCTCAGGAGTGTCCTGTGTGTGTGTGTGTGGGGGGGAGGGGGCTCTGGACTTCTGGCCTGGGGTCTGACGCTGGGGACATGGCCAGGTCTCGGCCTCTCTAGTGACAGTCATGTGTTCACCTGGCAGGCAGCTGTGGAGCCTTGTGGGTGTGGGGAGGGGTGCTGGAGGGTGTCCGACAGCAGGGTCACTAAGCCTCGGCCTCAGCAGTCCTGACCACCTGATGACACCTTGAGGGTGTGACAGGTACACTCACCTGTGATCCCGGTGCTGCACACTGAACTTTCATGCCCATGTCCACTTGTAGAGGGACACCACCCACTGGGGGCCAGGCAGAGCCCTGGTGGTGCAGTGCATTGTGTAATGTACTGCTAAAACAAAGGTCGGTGGTCTGGTTCCACGGCTCAGAGCCACGACAGGTGCTGGCCACACAAGGACAGACTGGCCGGCCGCGGGCTTTTGGTGTGGGGTCTTGAAACCTCTGTCCCTCCCATCACAGGGTGCCTGGGGCACAGACACAGCAGACCTGTGGGCCCTCACCCAGCTTAAATGCTCACCAAAATAAGCCCATTACAAGCAAACACCGAGGCCACACTGTGGAGCTGGTTATGACACTGTGACCCTGCAGGACGCAGAAGGACTGACCGCCCAGGAAAATCCAGGTGGCCACCTCCACGGGGGCTGACGGCAGAACTCGCACCCTCCCATGGGCTGGGGGGTGTGGGTGTGTGTCAGAAAGGCCCTGACCTCACACACACGTATGCACCTGCTCACACGTGCACACAAACCCACATGCACACACAGACAGTGGATGGGCAGCGCCATGGCTTTAATTCCGGGCAGGTCCTGCCACTCCGGCAGCAGAGTGGTGAGATTATTGCCGAGCTCGTCAACATGATTGTTTAAAAAAATAAATATGAAAAAGCAGCAGCTCGTCAGTGATCGCGGGTTAACCGCGCTGCGATCACAGCACGGAAGCGGCCGGTGCCATCTCTGACATCGCACCACGAGGCTTCGGAAGCACTTGGTTTGTCTGAGGCAGAGGCCTGGCCGGGCCCGTGGGGAGCGGGCGCCCCTCACATCTCGGAGTCCGCGTACATCCCGTTGATCAGGTAATCCACCTGCGTGTAGTCCTTCTTCTTGTAGCTCTCGTAGGCTTGCAGGGCAAACACCACCAGGACGGTGAAGAACAGGGTGACCCCCAGGAGCAGCACTGCCAGCAGGAAGCTCCGGGACGGGGCCTGGGGCTCGGCGGGCAGCGCCAGGCCATGGGTGCCACGCTGACACGAGGCTGTGGTTGGCACCTTGGTAGCTTCGGGGCTCCCGAGGGTGGGCCCGGCCGCGACAGTGCGTGGTGAGGCCTCTGCCTCACCCCACCCTGGGGTCGGGGTCAGGGCTGGCCCTGCGGCCCCCTGTATAGATGGGGTCGGGGTCAGGGCTGGCCCTGCGGCCCCCTGTATAGATGGGGTCGGGGGTGGCTGTGTAGTAGGGGACGTGGCCTCTGCTGTGGGGGTGCTGATGGCAGTGTGCGTCTCCGTTTCTGCCCTGGGGGTGGCTGCTGGCACCGTGGACACTGAGGTCACAGAGGCGACGGTGGTGGTGGTGGGGGCTGCATCTGAGGGGGTGGCCGTGGGCCGGACCGCTGTGCTGATCACAGGCTGGCTTGTGGACGTCTGGGGGCTGGGCCCTTGTGCAGTTGTGTTCGGGGTCTGGGGACTCACAGTGGGTGTGAGATCTGCTGTGAGGTTACTGGTTGTGGGCCTAGAGGAGCTGGTGGGACTTCTTGTCTGGGGCGTGGTGGCCATGGTCTCTGTCCTCAGGGCTGCTGTTGTTTTGGCCTCTGTTCCTGACATGATCCCTGTCCCCGGCACAGTCCCCAGCCCAGTGCCCCATCCTGGCACAGTCTCTGTTCCCTGCACTGTCTTTGCTCCCAGCAGTGTGCTGGTCCCGGGCACATGTGCACGGGGGGTGCTGGGAGGCAGGCTCCTGGGGGGTACAGTGGACACAACTTGAGAGGCAGCTGTGGGGACGGACGAGGCAGGCCCTGGGGAGGCTCTGGATGTTGCCCGGCTGGTGGTGGCTGATGTTACACCCGCCTCTGTCCTGTAGGTTGTCTCTGTTGTGGCTTCTGTTGGCCTGGTGCCAGCTGCCGGTATCCCGCTGGGTAAGGTGGTGAGAGATTCCAGCCTGGTTCCTGTCTCGATCGTTTTATTTTCACCCCTTGAGTTTGCTTCCCTGGATGCCCTGGTCCTGGGCGGTTGGCTCCACGTCTTGTTGGGGACCAAGCGCTCTTAAAAGAGAAAGAGGGAGTCACATTGAAAATGTACATGTGGACCGTGCCGAGCACCCCTTTTCTTTTGGGCCCATGAGAGCGAAGGGAGGTGACATGGGTCAAGCAGCCTCTATGTGCCTGCAGTGGTTCTCGAATTCCAGTTTTTAAACTTCTCCACCTTTTTTGGGCCTCCTGTCTTTCTGAAGCTCAAGAGCGTACTGGTCACACCCATGTTTATCGTGGCTTTGTTCACAATAGCAAGGAGTTGGAAACAACCTAAGTGTCCATCAACAAACGAATGGCTAGAGAAGCTGTGGTATATCCACACAATGGAATACTATGCTGCATTGAAAAACAAGGAACTCATGCAATATTATTCATAATGGGTGACCCTGGAGGACATTATGCTGAGTTAAATATCTCAGTCACAAAAGGACAAATACTGCATAGTGCCACTGTTGTAGAACGGGACTGACATCAGGGTTGGAGTGAGACTGAGAAAAAATGAATAAACTATGCATACTGCATTGAAACAGATGAGGGAGAGAAGTGTTTGAAAGCGATATGATTGGGTTTTATAGTTATGACAAGAGTCCAGAAAGAAGGTTATCCAGTGGAGTGTACTTGGGGTGGAAAGGGGGGGGATCTATACCAATGAAATAATTTTTCTTTTACTTTTCAAAGAGAAGAGCAAACTGGGGGGGGGGGGAGAAAAAGGCAACAATGAATGTACGGAAATCCAAAATCTCTGTAAATGTTCATTAAAATTAATTTTAAAAAAATAAAAAAGAAAAGGAAGGGAAAAAAAATTCCAACATAAAAAAAAGTGTCACTGGTGCAGATTCTTGAATTGCGTGCACAGGACGTCGTTGCAGATCCTAACCTCGCACAGCTGGGCGCAGTCTGGCGGCACCACAGTGAAACACGGGCCTACTCACTGAGAGTAGGGGTCTGGACCCACCCAGAAGCACCCCAGAAGGAAGCCTGGTGATCTGTTCCTGTAAAATGTCTAGAAACCCCCATAGGGTATCCTACACTATAAAATACGGGGACAAAATGTCTTTGGGTCAACAATAGACATGTACCTAAAACCCTACCACGAAACAGGGTCCTTTCTGTTCTGTTAATACCTTATCAGGAGGGTGTGCTTCAAGCCAGTCACTTTAGATATATATTAAAGGGACAGATCAAGCACAGAGGGTGAGGACACATTGGTGGGGAGGGCACCTCGTGCCCAGGAACTGAGGCGCAGAGCTGTAAAGGAACAGAGCCCCTCTTCCCCAGAACCCGTAGAGCGTGCCTTCCTGGAGCCAGTGCCCGGGACACAGGCTTCTTGCCTCATGACCTGTGAGGAAATCAACACTTGTTTTATGAAGACTTGTGCTATTTCCGTTTCGACAGCACTGGGAAATGGAGACAAAGATGACCCAATTCCCACAGTACCAGACGTCAGAAGAAAACCCACCGCATACAAACACCTGGGTGTGCTGGGTATGGACCCCGCCAGGCTTGCCTCCACCACCCCGAACTGGAGTGCACTGCTACACTCCTGGCCACTCGGAGAGCGACCATAGTAGGAGGTCCTGTTAAGAGAGGAGCAAAATGCATGTCGAGAATCAGAACAGGAAAACAGGCCTCGGGCTCCTGGTCCCAGAGACGGAGGAACTCATCAGCCTGCAGGCCCCGGGCACACTTCATGTCAGCTCTGCGGTTCGGCGTCAGTCTATGGACAGGCCTGTAAGACGAGTGATACCGCCAGGACGGTGCATGTCCTTGGCACGACCGGCCACACAGGTCAAAGGGCAGCATCTGCCTAGAGATAAAGCTCAGACAAGTCACTGCCATGGTGTTGGAACCAACTCAGCTGACCCTCCACTGAGGGACCATTATTGGGTGCTGTCAAGCCAGAACCAACCACAGTGGACCCTCCAGTGGGTTTTCAGAAGCTGTAAATCACGTAGGCAAAGACTGCCCAGTTTACTTGTGGAGCAGCAGGTGGATCTGAACTGAGTGCCTTTGGGTTGACAGCACAGCTCCTAATCACTAGGCCAGCAGAGACCCCTCCCAGTGAAGGACAAGTGAAAAGAGTGTGGCGAGGTCGTAGGGAAAGTGAAATTTGTTCTGTAAACTTTTATCACAATCACAAGAAGCTGTTGTTGTTGTTGTTGTTGTTAGGTGCCATCGAGTTGAGTACGACTCCTAGCGACCCTATGAACAACCCATCAGAGTCCTGTCCACCCTGCACCATCCTCAGCCTCTGACCCACTCGAGCCCACTGCTGCTGTCACTGTGTCAGTCTCCCTGGATGAGGGCCTTCCTCTCCTAGCAACACAAAGTATGGGAGACGAAGCTTCGCCACTCTTGCCTCTGACCACACCCTCTCCAAGACATATATCTGTTTGTTCTTTGGCCGTCCATGAGATATTCAGGATGCTTCTCTAATATCATATTCCAAAGGGATCAATTCTGTCATCCTTATCCACTGTCCAGCGCTCAGCAGCACAGCAAGTGACTGAAAAGACCATGGTCTAAATCAGGCGCACCTTAGTCCTCAAACTGACATCATTGCTCCTCAGTGATTCTGAAGTCCCTTACCCTCTTGATAGCAAGAAGTTAGGGAAAATTTAAAAAAAAAGAAAAATTGTTGTGAATTCCCACCCCAGAAGAATTCTTGGATTTGTAAGAAGAGTCGCTGTGGGAATTCTGGAAGACACAGAGCTCCTGGCTCACGCAGAACTCTCATGCTATGAAATTTCTCACACATGAGTGTATGAATGAACCCTCAGTGAAGATTCAGTTTGTAGAAGAAACCCCATTTTGCAAGGCCAAGCAAGTGAACACTTAGGAGTCCAGCTGCCTCGTCTCATTGGGAGTCCCTGCTCACGCTGGCATGGACAGAGGCTCGCTCAGATGCCTTTCCAAGCCCTGCACCAGGAGAGGCAAGGCTCCTGCCCATTGGCCAACCTGCAGAGTCCCCTCCCTCTCTAGAGCTCAAGGGACTTGGGGTCACTGTGGCCTGTCCAGTGGTCAGTCTGTCACTTACCTGGAGACTCTGATACCACTTGGCTTTTGGAAAAGGATGAGGACAGAAAGATGAGCACAAGGACTGTCCACATTTTGTGGGCGAGCTGGGAGCAAGGCCGGGCAGTGCAGTGGGCTCCTGGTCACCAGCTTCTCAGGCCGTTTGGGATTCCTTTAGCCTTCTCTGAGGGGTCTGTGGGCAGAAAGACAGGGGCAGGAGCACTGGTCAGCAGTGCCCATCTCAGTCCTGATGGGCTGGCAGGGCCCAGGGCTGCAAATGGGACCAAAAGTCTGAGCAGAGCTTGTGTCCAACAAGTGTCAAGAGGGTCACCATAGTGGGGACAGTGGTCTGTCCAGGTCTTGATCCACTCTTGATGGGTTTAGGACCCATCAAGAAAAGCTGATTTCATTGAGTACCAACCTGTGCAAGCTCCCAGTATCCTAATGGAGAGGGGGAGGGGGGGCCAAACCTGACCATGCTCTAGGGAGGCCTCTGGTCACTGAGGTGGCTAAGTCTTCCTGGTCTCTCCCAGGGTCTGCAGGGTACCTGGTGGTTAACTAACCACAGCTCTCACACCAGAGACCCCACTGAGCTAGTCATTCATTGCTCCATCAGCTCTCCATCAAACCTCCCAATCAACTGTCTAGTCATCCTTCTATCACCCATCGCCCCTCTCCATCCATACAGCCCCCATCCCTCCTCTACTTTATTTACACAGCTCCCATCATCCCTCCTCCTCTCCACCACACAGCCCCCATCCCTCCTCCTCTCCATCCACAGCCCCCATCCCTCCTCCTCTCCATCCACAGCCCCCATCCCTCCTATACTCTATTTACACAGCCCCCCATCCCTCCTCTCCCCCACCACACCGCCCTCCTCCCTCCTCTTCTCCTTCCACACAGCCGCCATCCCTCCTCCGCTCCATCCACACAGCCCCCATC